GCGGGAGCGCCGCGCCGCCGGGGGGGCAGAGCTGCCGCCTGCTCCTCTGCCGTCCCCGAGCCCGGACGAGACCCTGTTTTCACGTCTGTCTGGAGTTTTCGTCCAGCTCTGATCCTGCTGAGAGCTCAGCCCTTGTCAGGAGGCTTTGGGCGTTAATGTCGCAGGTCGGGTTGTCACGTCGCACGTGAAAGCAAAACCGAGAGGGTAGTAGGTAGGATCTGGAATGCTGACTGAAACCAGAGTCCGAAAACTGCATTGTTACTAATACCGTTTGCGGGTATCTGTTGCAAGACCTAGATACTAATTTGCTGCTTCTTAATAGCTGTTTTATCGTTCATCAAGAATAAATTGAAACTGTCGAACAGCTACGTTCCGATGTTGTTAGAGCTATGCTTGTTTTCTTTATAGGTGAAAAATCCCAAACATGAACAGCAGTGCGCCACACCTGTCCGCAAAGCTGACTTGGCTAGAAGTGGAATGTAGTTTCCTGACAGATCTTCATATAAAAAAGTTGTAAATTCTTTGTAATGGCTAACAAGAAAGAGCCTCCTTTTTTCAATGAAGATAATATGGGACCATTTCACTACAAGCTTCCTTTCTATGAAACTATGGAGCTCTTCATTGAAACACTCACAGGAACATGCTTTGAACTACGAGTTTCTCCCTTTGAAACAGTTATTTCTGTGAAAGCTAAAATTCAAAGACTGGAAGGTATCATTCTCTCTTATTTCAGTGTAAACTTTATCGGTTTAGAGGAAGTCTTGTTTTACAAATTAAAATTGCTGAAATCAAGCTAGCTAATTTAAATGACTTGTTCAGTAATACATATAAGCTAGGCACTCAGTTTATGGTTTAAGTTTAATTGGGATTGGGTTGTTTTTCTGTTCTTTTCTTTTTATATCCGTTTATGGCTTAAGCTTCACTGGAATGACAGCTTGAAGTTACTGATTTTAATTCTTTTCAGTGACTGATCTTTTGTTGGTAGAGGTCTGGCTGGCCAATGCTTTGTTTTAAAGTGATGAACTTGGCATTTGCATTTCTTGTCCAAAATGGGAGATTGTGAATAGACATACTGATTTATACTTAGAGCTTATTATTGTAGGCTAGGTGTGCCTAACTTACAAAAGTATCATAATTTCCCATTAGAACAGCTCAATAACAAAGTTATAATATTGCTTATTCAGAATTTTGTTGGCATGTTGTAGTTCATAGGATAAGTTAATTAGTGGCCTAGGTGCCTGCTGTATAGACTTAATTATTAGCAAGTAAATTTCATTAAAACATTAAAAATAAGAGTTCACTGGTATTTATCATTAAATTGTTAGAAGTCAGGTGAAATACCTTGATACTTCAGAACAGACTTAAAATATCTGTAATGTCCTGATAAATATGATTTATGGGAGGCAGAGTGAAAACTGATTGATCAGTTTTGTGTGGACAGACACAGTGACAGATTAATTTTATGTTGCATTTGGTGTTGGTATTGCATGTAAAAAAAAAAAAAACCCAAACCAAATTTTTCAGTGACAAAGTTCCTATTACAGTGCAGAAGTTCAAGCAATTTATCACCCCAGTGGAGTGAAAATCCTGAAGTAATTTTGCTGTTGTGATTTAGCATGGGGAGCAGAAAGCTTACATCTGTTTGTATCATGTCAGCTTTCATGGGTTCTGAACTTCTCATTTAAACTGCATTTCTGGCTGGAGAATGCTCCTTACGCTGCTGGGAGATTATATAGGTTCCCTAGTATGCGTATTGTCTCTGTAGACTTACTTGGGTGTTGAGGATGATGGTATATAAGCATACAAAAAGACAAGCATTGGGAAAATTATCTGAGACTTGAGACCTGCAAGAACAAAATCTAGAATTGTATCAGAAGTTAACAAATTTGTTCCAGTGTTTCTAATGCCTTTAATTGTAAGAGACTAATAATAAAACTGAATCAAGATGAACTCATCTTTGTCAACAACTGGAATATCAATAGCTGTAGACTGTCTGTACTGTAATAAGAAAGGACAATATGGAAGGCATGTTAGGAATTTTGTATACTCTGATACTGTTTGTCATTCTTGGTGCTTGTTTAATGATCTAATGTGGAACCGGTTTGTTTAGACAGCTGTAGTAAATGTTGGTAACTTACTGAAAAAGACCTCCAGATCTCCAACTGTTTCCAGTTGGTTTTGTCAGTAAAGAATATGGGTAAATATTTATTAACAAGTTCTGATGCATCTGAAATTTCAGTGCAAGTGTACTTGTAAATTGAAGTTAAAGGGTATCTGATGTGTTTGGATTAGATCCAGGCATGTGTCCTCAGATAGGTTCCATAAGAAGTAAGCACTTGGTATCCAAAAATTTAGATTTGTTATAATGTTGACTTTGGAGCCACCTAACGTAAATTTCTCCTAGTCTCAGATTCACTGAATGAAGCTTTTAAAACGGTACACTGGAGAAGAAATTGCTCCCTTTGTCTCTGCTGGTGGCATAAAAGCTAGAATACGCACAGCCAGCAGTGCTACATACTCCAGTGGTTTTACTTGTTGGTTATTTGTGTTTGAAAATACTCCATTGGTTTTACTTGTTATTTGTATTTGAAAACAGGATCATGTGTTGATGGACAGGGATAGAATAGTACCTGACTTTCAAGGTGACATGAAAGACCGAGCTTTAACACATGAATGGTACTTTGAAATAGCAGGATTTTATTGAAAGAAGGGGAAAAAAGCACATTTTTTTAAAACTGAGAATCTCTTCTTGCTTCCTCCGTTGCAGAAGTCTTTGTAGCTGCCATACTGGACAAATTTTAGTATTCTTCATTTGGAAATACCAATTATTACATTGAATGTCATAGAAGGAATGTTCAGGTAGTGTATTCTTAGTAGTGGTTAATTTGTTCATCTGTTAAAGAACCATAGAAAATACCTGTAAATGCGTTTGTTCAGTAAGATAGGATTGAGTGTCAAGGGAGGAGGAGGGGTTTGGGGTTTGGTTGTTGTTGGTGGTATTACTGTGGAAGTGAGGCAAATCATTTGCATTCTACAGTATGGAGTGTTAAGGCCTTCATTTACATAGCTAGTTTTAAAATAAGAAAAAACAACTCCATGGTTTGCTCAGTGACTGCTTGCAACTGAATTTTATGATCTGTTTGTGTGGGAACATCCACCTCTTCAGATGAAAATGTAGGCGTGCTCTTGCATTATTGTAAAGGGGGAAAACCAGAACTAGCTTTCAGAGCATGTCTTCCTTTGGAATGCTTGTGTTCAGCACAGAATAACAGATGCCACAATTTTGTTGTTGTGTGTGTGTACTCTCAGCTCATCATAAGAGTTGGTTTGGTTTTTTTTTTCCTTCGGTCTTTTTGCTGTCATTATTTTGCAGCTGATGTGTAGCAGTGTTGTGGTTTAGCCTTGTCGGGCAATTAAGCACCACCAGTCACTCTACCACTCCACCACCACCCCCCCACACTCCCAGTGAGGAAGGGTCAGAGGAAAACAAGAGAGGCTCGTAAAAGGTTGAGATAAGAACTACTCAATTATATAAATGAAACTTATGAAGTTACTAACAATGCTGTTACTAATACATAATTAAAAGAACAGAAAAATAGAAAAAATGATACAGGATCTCACCACCCCTGGACAGACACAGCCAGGTTCCAGAACGGCAAGGCAAAAATAAAACCAAAGCGCCGAGGAGAAAAACCCCCTCCCGGAGCCTGGGAGCTGAGAGCAGGAGGAAAGAAAACCTTCAACTTCCCCTTCCCAGAGCAATTTCCCTGACAAAAGATGCTGACTGTCTGCTCACCACCCAACACCAACCCGACACCAGGTCTGGACAAAGACCGAGCTGCAGAGAGAGAACAAACACCGCGCTGCTGGCAAACAAACCACGCTGCCAGCAGGAACCTCTGGGGCGACCCCCCACACACCTTCAGGGTGCAGCCTCTGCAAGCTTCCCCGCACCCCACTCCCCACGCTGCCAGTATGGGGGGTAACAATGACCACTCAGCTTGGTGTATTATGGAATGAAACAAAAAATCTTACGTATTGCCCTAGGAGAACAGCTCATTGCTGCCTGGGACCAGGACAAGCAGCTTCACCTTTAGTCCAAGAAACTGGATGAACACCAAGCAGACTTCTGGATGTTGTATTTCTTTCAGTGTTCTGTGAATTCAGAGTATGTCATAATTCCATGTATTACTACTTGTGTTAGAGAAAATACCTTTGTTTCTGTCAGGACTGGAGTAAGTGGATTGCACACATGTAAAGTTTTTAACAGAACCAGTCTTGCTTTTATTCTATTTTTCCTCTGTCTCCTGTTTGCTTTGCAATTTGCCTGTTTACTGTGCTGATAAAATCTAGAAGTTCATAAGTTTTTTTTTAAGCTTATTCCATGTCTGAGCAGGGAAAACATTCCTGCAAATGCAAGCCTGTGCCCAGATCAGATGGTTAGAGCAGCATCTGGAAGGTGTAAATAAGGTCACCTTCGTGAGGAGATTTTGTGGGCCTGTGTTGAGTTACTGGTGATTCGCTGCTGTTCCAGTCTCTGTCAGTCCCTAGGATAAAGGGTAGGTCAGTACTGAACACCATTTACGCTAACGGAGCTTGCTGTTGTCCAGATGAAAGCTGCAGGGTTTGACAGTCACAAAAATGCTCTGGCTGCTCTAAGTTGTGAACCTTTGCACCTCTTCCCTAGTCACCTAGTTTGGGGGGGAAAAGAAGACTGTCACCCAAGCCTCTCTGTAATCAGGAGCAAGAAGTAAATGTTTAAAACAACACTCTCACAACTTCAACTTAGATGAAAGACAAATACACTGTTTGAACTCCGACTTTAAAATGTTTGTGGTGCTTTTAAACAGAGGAACCTTCTACCCACAACATAAAATCAAGTTTGTTCTGAAATGTGTAAGGGTTTTTTTTGGGGTCAGACTTGACCACATCAGTTTGTCTGGTGAGCCTACTTAGCATGCCAGAAAGAGTAAAGGAGTGAAGCTTAAGTGCGTATCTGAAATGCTGATTCAGAGGCAGGATAGAGTACTTACTCTCTCCTTTCCTTTCCCCGTTTTGGTAGGTCAGATTGTAAGCGCATATGCGGTCATTTCAGCAGGCAGTCTGCAGACTCTTCTGTTCTCCTTTGAGCATCACCTGTCCAGCCCACTTCCATTTGAGTGTTGAGGTGTAGCTCGCTGCCCTACTTTCTTCTCTCCTCTGTACCGATTTAGAGCAGGCCAGTGATAGTCTCATGCTGCATAGGGAGAGGGGATAGGGGATGGATATCTTGCAGTTCTCATTATTGTTGCCAATTTTACATGCTGATCTCATGTGCAAATGGCTCCTCAAGAAAGCTTTACTGTAATCCAGAAAGAAGACAGCTGATGCATATTTTCCTGCACCTGAACCTATAAAGCACATAACATTTCCTCCATGTGTAAATACACAATTCTTAGAAAGCAGCATAAAAGGGATTAAGTAATAAAGACTTGTCTGTTTCCCATGACAGCAGAGTATAGTATTTTCATTTGTTCATTTAATCAAAAATACATTGTCATTGTTAAATGAACAAAATCATGTTTCACTGCAGTACTGCCAGTTGCAACCCAGCCTTTTTAACAAATACTCTCTCAGTTTATCATAGTAATTGGAAATTGCTCCTTGGAGGCTGCTGAAACCATAACAAATGCAGACAGTAATGACTGTCTGTAATCAGAAGACTGCGAAATAACACAAAAGAACTTGAGGCTGGCTGTTGCCAGCTTGTTCTTGTTTTGCTTAAGCTGCAGGCTTGAAACATAACCAATACCCGGTTATTAATTAGCTGGAAGCATAGTAGCAATTATGTTAGTCTACTATATGAACATACTGCCTTCATAAATATCTTTTGGACTTCAGAGGATACAAATTTCATGTTAAATGCCATCCAAAAAGTGAAGTTCTGTTGGTTGTTCGTAAAAGAGAGAATCTAGATGTGAACTGTGATAAGAAAAGGAAATTGTCATCTTCTCTAAAATTTTAATAATAACAATGACAGTTCCTCCAAAGTGCACTACTTCTGCACGGGGATGTACTCTTAGCATGTCTCCTACTTGCCTGTTGAATCTGCTTGGACTTCCACCAGAATCTGGTCCCCTTTTCTTCCTTGCTGGTGGTAGCTGTTGGTAGCTTTGTGCCCTGCCTCCAGCTAGGAAGGGGCTACTTCACTGACCTATTGCCACAGCTTGCTAAGCGCTCTTGCAAGCCTTGGGAAGCTGAGATGTTTTGGGAAACCCCCTGAAAGACTGATCTTTTGTGTTCTCCTCTTGAAAGATGTATTTTGGGAAGTCTTAACTGTGTAGCATTGCTACTTGCATCTCCTTTGAAGTATTTGAACATGCAATGAATAAAAGTGTAAGATAAGGTTATTTTAATGTAACCTTTTGGAAAATACATTTATAACTTTGCTGCTAGTTTGAGGACCAGCATTTAGGCCTTTTTGTAAAAGTTGTTCTTGGCCTTTCTGGATAAAGATGTATTTTGGGAAGTCTTAACTGTGTAGCATTGCTACTTGCATCTCCTTTGAAGTATTTGAACATGCAATGAATAAAAGTGTAAGATAAGGTTATTTTAATGTAACCTTTTGGAAAATACATTTATAACTTTGCTGCTAGTTTGAGGACCAGCATTTAGGCCTTTTTGTAAAAGTTGTTCTTGGCCTTTCTGGATTTCAGTTTTAATTACA